TTACTACACAGCATAAGGACATCAATATGTATCAGAAAATGCAATAAAAATTTGGGATGTAAATATTATGTGCTTCTTGAGATTGACCATGTCTAATTATTTGCTAGGTGTGGCTATTATGCGTGTGGCTGATGTAGTTATTATTACATTGTTTGATGAATAAATTATGGGTACTTTAATTTTTTTTTTGCATTAACCATTACCCTCTCTCTTTCTCTTTCCCTCCCTCTCTCTTTCTCTTTCCCTCCCTCTCTCTTTCTCTTTCTCTCTCTCTCTCTCTCCTTTACATCTTTCATGGTTTGAAGATCCATTGGAAACTTTATCAAATTATAATAGTCAGGCACATCTTTTGAGGAAACTGGTTTGCAAAAAGGCCAATACTAAAAAAAGAAGAAACATTATTCTTCCCACCATTCTATTCTTTCTCTCTCACCTCTTGAACAGCACTCAGTTTATTAACAATCTTCTCTAAAGCAGCAGCAAATGGCACCTAAGGAAAGCAATAAAAGTTAAGTATAGCAATACTGTACTAGTACCTCTGGGTTGGTCCGTCTTCTCTTTCCAGCTTTAGCTTTTTTCTATAAATAAACAATACATACACATGTACATGTACATGTACATGTATGTTCAGGTGCTTTATACATGTAAATTAGGTTTTACCTCTAAATAATCTAATTGTTCATCTCCTTGCTTCTTTCTTTTACGAACTAATTAAGATAAGAAAAAGAAAGAGAGAGAGGGGGTTTAGATTACAGAATTCACATTAAGCTCATTACTCTTTTCTTTAGGGAATTTCAGTACTAATGATCTTCTCCTAACATCTTCAGCACTGTAATAATAAGTGATATCTCATTATCTCTCACTTTCTCTCTTACTGTTCAAGTAAATCTTTCTTAAGTACAACTTTAGTCCCTTCAACTTTAACGAGATCATCTTGAACTAGCGGTACCTCACTGGTAGCAGCTGCTAACTCGTCATCAGTAGGAGCAACCTAATATGTACATTAGTATACATGTACATGTATTATAATACATGTACATGTACATTGTACCTGAACAGGTTGATTCTTGTATTTTGGACAGTTTTTATTAGTTTTCATGTGACCTTTCTGACCACAAGCACTACATGTTAACTAAAGAAAAGACAGACAAAAGATAGATGAAGATCAAAATAAATGAAGATCAAGATACATGAGTCATGTACATAAGGTGTTACATACATGTACATGTTAACATTATTATACTAACATGCATGGCGGTGAATTCTTTATTCTTTTTTGGTTTCTGAGGCTTTTGTTTAGCTCTCTCTTCAGCTCTATCTAGCTGCCTAATAGCTGACTGTAATCTATTAAGAAATACACATGTAGAAAGAAAAAGGAAATAAATTAAAATAAAATTAATATTAATTTATATTATGTACATGTACATTGTACATGTAGCATAAATGTACATGCACCTTTTCACTTCTTTCCTCATGTCTTCACGAGTTTTCTCATCTTTCTCAGCAAACTCCATCCTACAATGACACCAATCAGGTGACAGTCACATGATGGTATGTCACCTGATATCTTTATCCTTTGATCCACTCATTATCCTCACATAAGCATCAATGACTCCTTGATTCTTTACTACTTCATGTCTCACGTATTCTCTCCCTCCCTCATCTCTGAAGGTTCTTGATATCAAGAGTCTCCGCCCACTTGAGAAGCTGAGGACTGATGAAGCATCGTCTACATCAAGAGAAGGAGTGGCTACAGGAAAATGTATGAGATATGAGATACATGATTAATCACTAATCATGCTAACCTCTTTCTGAATGGTCCCCTCCTCCTCCTCCACTGTCAGTAGCTCCTTTACTAGAAGAGGGCCCAACCTATTTCAATCATACATATCAATGTTTGTGTTCTTATGATGATATACATGTATGTGTGTACATGTACATATTATAAATCATTCACATATTAAATTTATATTCCAATTTCATACTGTTATTATTACTATCAAAAGGAGATGAGAAAGGGAGGGCCTAACTGTAGACCAATAACACCATAGTAGAATGCCACATTCAAACCAATCATAATCATACATGTGCATGTAACAGCAGGGCTCCCACTCTCTCACTACAAACTCTTTCTTTCTTTCTTTCTTTTCTTACATTCGATTCATCCAGTAATAATCTCCTCAGTTCTTGTCTCTCCATCTCCTCCTGCTCGTGTGTCAGGTCCAGTGCCGTTTTCTTTGACGAGAGGAGAGACTCGAGATTCCGTCCCAATTCATCATCACTCTCTCCCTCACTCTCACTGCTCTCATCATCCGTTGACAACACCTCGTTGGAACACAGTACCCTATCAGTATAACTCAGGATAACTCAGTAAACCCGGTAGATCTATACACTAACTTATTTTGAATGTCAAACACTCTTTGGCATTCTTCCTTGTACCTCTCTTGAGCCTCAGACTGGGAGCATCTACTGCCTCGAGCAAACATCAAACTACTAACATCAACAGCTGGAGATAAAAAAGATATACAGTAAATGACAGAAAAAAACAAATTGGTGGTGGAGGATGATGACAAACGGTAAGTTTATTACATAATTATTTTTAAATTATTAACTGGTAAGAATAATTATTTAAAAATTATTAACTAGTATGTACCTCCTCCAGATCTTGCTGCTTCAGTTGAAATACTTCTAACAAGATCAACCACTTTCCATCTTGATAACTTAGCAATCTGAGAAGGAAGAGTTAAATCATGTACATGTACATGTACATGCATTTGAACAATTATAAAACTGTAAATTACTTCTTCCTCTGGTACTCCAAAGTTTCTCAGTACATTCCTTGCTTTGCTTAGTTTGAGTTTCCTTAGATCAGCTTCAGTTCCCATTACAGTCTTTGGCCTCTTGCTAGGAGATACAGTGCTGGGATGACCTGCTTCCTATTATTACAACAAAGAATGATGTGGAATAATCAATAGTTTAATGTACTGTACATGTACCTTAGGATTGAGTCTAGTGTAAGAGAATCCTTCCCCACAGCCAGTGGGATCAGCAGGTCCACTCACTGATAGTTGATATTTTCCTTTCATTGCATTAATGAAATGATGAGTTGTGTTCCATGGAGCAGCTCGTACCTAATGAGAGAAGTACATTAAAAGTATGTACATGTACATGGATTGTTACCTCATCATCAATCTTTTGATTTGTTTCTTCTCCTTCCTCTTCTTCTTCTACAGCAAACAGTGACTTACCACCATAACCAGCATCCTATGATAAATTCATCATATCAAAAATTGGCATACTTCTTAATTTTAATTATAACTACAAGTATGTGTACATGTACATGTAGACAAATATCTATGTATTCATTTAGTACAATTCCTGCTAAGTGCTCTCCCCTTACTATTACCTTTAGTCTCTGCTCAGCAGCCAGCATACTAAAGAAAGCACAAGCTTGTTCAGGTGTCACCATTGCTCTTATTTCTTCCTCAGTTGGTAGTCTAACATCAGATCTTAATACCCAGGAACCACTCTCATAACCTGGAGTGGCAAAGTATAAAAAAGAGGAAAAAAATGTACAGTTTTTCAACAAAAATAAACAAATCATCAAACTGCAGCTTAAAACAAGTAACAATGGCTATTAGTACAATCAAAATTCTAATTGCAAGATAACAATGAATGTACATGTAATTCCATCGACTGGTCTGACACATACAGTGTAATGCTTCACGCTGCTATGAAAAGTGTGTACATGCATGGAAATAGTACACCATCTACAATATACAAGTGTATGTGCTTAATGATGTACATATGTACATGTATGCTACATGTATAAATCAACATAAGATCCAGATTAATCCATAGATTAAGATAGAGAGTATATCTCAACCGATCAGGTGATGCTCTCCGAGGATTCATAATTATGAATTAATCCTTAATCCATGGCATAATATCAACAGTGTACATGTATATGTACAGTACCTTCTCTTTTAAAGTCAGCAAACTGCTTAAGGACTTTCCTAATGACACTCTCAGACATGACAGAGGAAGGGAATGCTTTCCTGACCATCTCCATCTTTATCTTCTTAGGATCATCATCACTGTCTTGAAACAACCTGTACAAGTAGACCTGGGGATAGAATGAAAGAGAGAAATGAAGAAAAAAATAACAAAAAGAAAAAAAAACACGAGAAAGTGATAAAAATTAATTCTATTGTAATACTCATGTACTTGTAAGAAATCCTTCTGGAACTGGTTAACTGTCTTTGAATTAGGGGCTGGGACTTCAATTTTAGGACACTCTTGACCAACGACAAACAAATCAAACAATTCACGAATATAATACCTTAAAAGTGTATAGAGAAAGAGGAGATTGTATTTATAAAGGCACAAGATCAAAGAATGAATGAACTCACTTATTATCAGATCTTATAATTAGAAAATCAGTTTCAGATACATTGTGAAGATATACTGGCGCCCGAAACAAATTACACTCAAAACTCTGAAAAATAGACATGTACATGTACATGTGTAACTAAATCCTACATGTACATGTACATGTACATGTATACAGTACCTGTAAAGCCTGACCAGGTTTGAGGTTACCAAGGAAATATGAAGTGTTTTGTAAATAGGTTGTTTCACCGTATTCAAACTCTGGAGGAACTGCACCTTTAACTTTCTAAAAATAAAAATAAAATAATATAAAACTGGTTGAGTAAAAAAAAACAAAAAGTTATTTTCATTCAAATACATGTACATGTACATAGTAAGTAACATCACAGGATTAATACATTAAATTTTATTGTGTTGATCTTACATAAAAGCTTAAAGGGTCAATGTGCATACAAAATAATTCTATATGCACAGTATGTGTTGTTTAAAAATCTGTAACTACATGTACATGTACATGTACATGTATTAAGGTAATGGAAGATTCAAAAATTGTACTAAAGTGCAAGTAATAAATCAATAAAACTTGCCTCTGGTCTTCGATAATAATTTTTAATTTTAGTTGCCATTCCAGTAGCCATTACCAGTGGAGGGTGCTCCTCTGAGTATTCCGCTAGTATGAGGTGACCATCACACGAGGAGAGGTCCTCTGGGGACCTCATGAAGAATACCTCACCACCTCCAGACTGGATTCTTTCTTTATCACGCTCCTAGAGAGAGAGAGGGGGGGAGAGAGACAGGAAGGATAGGGAGGGGAGAGAGAAAGAAAGAAGGAAGACAGAAACCATACTGAATGATAAGAAATACCATGTAGTCATGTGTGTGGGGCCGATTTTACAGCAACTTTAAAAAATCGTAAAAAATTCAATTTTGATCGGAATCAGTTCAAACCTTCTACACAACATAAAAATATGTACATGCATCATAAAAAACTATAAAAATAAAGAATTCTTTTCTAGTAATTTTGGAAAAATTTGGCCAACAACCCTGTACCATGGTACAGGAACTTTGGCCTAATTTTCAGGCAACTTTAAAAATTTGCAAATAAAATTAATTTTGATCGGAATCATCTCAAATTTTGTACACAACATAAGTACATGCATCAATACTTGTTGTACAAGTAACATACTTTATCTTTCTTTGCTATATTTTTCTTCAAATTGCTCAATGGCTGCCAACCAGTACTGTCCCCTCCATTAGTTAACTATATGTACACATGTATAGGAAAAAATAAGAAAAAAATAACCATACAGTAAAAGATTGTACTGTACATGTACAATTATGCTCATTGACTAATACATCATTAGTACTAACCTTGTTAATCTTTAGTCTGGGTCTATGGAAGTATCTGAGAGCACTAGCAGACCAGTAGGTTGGTAGCCAAGGGATGTACAGGTCCAGAGCTGGTGTGGAGTGTTGTACCATGTTATTGCTCTCTATCCCTGGGAGACCGTGAGATGAAGAGGAGGCGTGGCCTGGATTGTAATACTCGTCATTGGAGAGGTTGAATGGGTCCTTGTTGCCTTGGTAGCCAGGGCCAGAAGCCTTTGAAGATCCTTCTCCTTTATTATTGTTAGTCTGTTTGCTCCAGGACTTGGACGACTTCTTCATATCCTACAAGAAATATGAAGGATGATTTGAATATGTGATTCAAACATTTGAATTGATGTGATTCAAACATTGAATTGATGTGATTCAAACATTTGAATGAATCTTCACACCACAAATTTGCTGGTTTTGCATGTACAACAGACACTAACTAATCAAATGTAAGTTTAAGTTTCAATTGATTACTTTTTTGTTATCTTTGCTGTCTTTGTCAAGAGAGGGAGGAGGAGGAGGCTCAGGAGGTAATCCAATGATAATGTTAGGATCATTAGGATCCAACCTTGGCAACACTGGCTTGGGTATTGACTTAACTGCCTGTATAAAAGAGAGACAGAGAGACGAATAAATATATAAAAAATTTATCATCACAAAATGACAGAGTACAACAAACATATGGATGCTGCTTATAGTCGATGTAAATATTTTCTTCTTACGTTTGAATCAAATATTATATCTTCTTCCCATTTTCCGAATATGAGGTCATTATTTTGTACTGGAAACATTGACTCTGGTAAATCAAGAGTCCGTTCTGGAGCCACGCCTCCAAATGTCCCTCCCATCTGCCGACTATCACTAGCAGTAGTCCATACACCACCTGTAAAGAGATAGTGATTATTTAATTACTTATTTCTTACCTTGGGCAGTTTTATGAGGGCCAGTAGTGGGTGGTATATAAGTGAGTATGTCATTCTCCCAAGGTAGCTGGGTGACCATGAGGAAAGCATCATCAGGCAATGGATCATCAATATCTGAACCAGGTAACCCTTCATCTTGCTCAACTGATGAAGACTAGAAGGAGAGAAATACAGTAAGTTATATTCATGTACATGCATAAGCATTCTTAAATCTACATGTAGGTTCAAATTTTGGGAGACCAATCTGAATATGGGAGACCAAAAGTCTCATGAACTCCCTTTAAATCAACATACCTTTAGTTTAAAGCCGTAGTCCAGTCCATGACCATCTTCTGGTACATTAATCATGTCATACCAAACCTTAGCAGGACCAAATCTCCATTCCTTGGTCTCACTATCAACCGCTCTCCTCTCTCCTCCCAAGCCCTCTCCTCTCTCTCCCTCCTCCACACTGCCAACGGGACACAGAAACCTCTTCTCCTGATCGTCACACATCTCAGGATCAGGGACTGGCCCATAGTTCAGTTTAAACTCTCTCTCTTCTCCCTCCTCCTCCTCCTTCTCCTCTTGAACCCTTCTCTTCCTCTTGGCTGGTTTCTTACAGTCTTTCCATGGATTAGGTACTGACGCCGGGTTAGGAGGTATCAGACTTGAAAACCTCAGGATAGTGTTCGGTTTAAAAGTAGGAAATAACTTGGTTACTTTCTCCAGTAGTTCTTCCTTTGTCATTCCTTCTGGTAACAATGGAAATGTTTCTTGCTCCTCAACCGGCCGAGGATCAACATCCATACGCTCCTCTGCCATTGGTGCTGAAGAGGAAGCAGTATTAGGTGAGAGGGTTGAGAGAGGAGGCCTAGAACTAGCTGCATGTAGTTCAGTAGTTGAAGGGATTGTGGATACGCTGGTGGCAGGAGATGATGTACTTGGTGGTACCTCTTCTATTATTATTTGAATAGGGTCACCAGGTGTGGTCTTGTTTGGCTGATCAGCAGATGAAGTTTGAGATGGAACGTTCCCACTTTCTTTTGAAGACTGATCCATTTTGCTATCTTCTTCTTCATCATCATAATCGTCGTAATCATCTTGGGATTGAGCTACACATAATAATACACAAGTACATGTACTGTACATTAGTATCATGAAGCTAATAAATTCTAGTCATTAAGCCTCGGGCAAAAACTACCTATTCATTTTAGTTAAGTTAAGTATTGCTTTAGTTTAAAATTTTGTCTTTTTTACAATAATTAAGTTAGTCAGTTATAGCCTTTGATCAAAACTCTGGATGCTCAAAATATACAATTAGAATTTGCTCAAATTTTATCAAAACAAAAGGATCAATGTGACATGTGGGCTCAATTCACTCCAGTTACCTCCCAACTAATAATTAGAAAATCAAAGTACTCTTGATTATACATGTACGTGTACATGTGCAAAGGTTTGCATGTGCATTACAATGCAAAACAGATACATGTACATGTACATGTATAGTATGCATAAATAAAATTACAAATGTAAGTATGTCTAAGTCTTACATTTTTCAGTAAGATACTTCATTCCAACATTGTAGAGTCTCTCCTTCTCGGACTCATCCTCAGCTAATTCATTGATGTCAGCATAATCCTCTGCTTTTGAGACTGATGCAACTGCAACTGGAGAACTGCTTTCATCATCTTAAGATAAAGATGAGAGATGAGGAGAAAGAAGAAGAGAATATTAAAAATGTGTATTACATACATAATGTATACATGTATGTATATCAAACACTAATAACATTATTATTATTATTATTATCAAAAACAAGAACTAATTAGAGCTAATAATAGAGAAAAACAAAAAAGGGAAAGGAGAGGGAAGGCCCTATGAGGAAAAAATAAAATAGAAATAAAACAAGGAAACTATATTATTATTATTATTATTATTATTATTATTATTATTATCATCATCATTATTATTATTATTATCGCCAATACAACACTAAGAAATATGTCATTTAACTTTAAAATTCAGTCAAAATTTAAATTGTGCAAAATTTTATTAACAAGAATTCTACTACTACTCTGAACTTGACAATTACTTTTATATTTGCTGCTTGGTCTAAAAATTAATATCTAAAACAATTCTGTGGTTATACAAGACAAAAATGCACAATAAAATAACAAAACAATAATAATAACAATATAAAATAATAAAACGACATAGATTCGTGTTAATTGACAGAAATCAGTTTCGGCAGTAAACTCATGTCACAGAAAGCTTACAACAGTATCAATCAAACATGCAATGATCTCACCATCATCTTTATCATCTTCTTGAACATCTTCAACCACATTCTCTACCACACCCATCCTACCCAACTGGGCAATTTCATTCTAAATTTGAGAGAAAAATGAGTACATGTGAGGGTGAACTGACCCGTCCTAACAGTCCTTCGTCCTCAAGCTCGCCTTCTTCGTTAATATTACCAAAAAGGAAAGCTGTGAACTCCATGGTATGCGATGGTATGGTGGTAGAATTAACAAAACCACGCCTTTTTAACATGTGGGTGTCACGCCCACATTTAGATTTAATTTTTGATGATTTTGTCCTCTTCCATTCATAGTGCTCCAATGCAATTACATGTTCTAGTGTAACATTTTCCCCTTAAGCTTATCGTTAAATCTGATGATCCTAAATGTTAAACTATTAAAACAACACAAGCTAGCAATCATTTCCTTTCACTCATACTCACCCCTTCAATGTTTATTAGTAAGTCAATGTAAAAATAACAATCTTTGCAATTCCTTTTAGCTATTTGACCATTTGTTTAACTTAATTTGACTCCATTGCATAAATAATGACAGCATTGCTACTTATTTCAATATTTTTACATGTATTTAATTGTCATAATAATTATTTATCATCATAATGATTGTTGATTAATAATAAATTCAATTCTTTTTCAATTTCAAATGCATCCACACTTGGTGACAGCCATATTTTTCCTTCGCTTTAGAACCAGATTCCTTGATTGATTGTAAGTCAACATGACCAAAGAGCGATGGCGTACAGCTGAGCAACAAGGAGGAGGTATATCGCCTCTCAGTTGAGCAGCAAGACTTTGTACCTGAGCATGAAGTGTCACCTTTCTTCTGCTTAATGGGAACAAGCAGTGCCCATGGCAATAGTTGGCATAGTAGCCAGACGGTAACACAAACTTAATCTTATTGAATCCAATTCGTTTGAAGTCAATATAGTGTCTTACCAAGCGGCAGTGTTTTGACCTGGACTTCCTCAGTGGGTTGGCTTCTCTTTTTGTCGTGTTATTGTGAGTTGCTGCATTACTTGTGTAAGGAATAATGTCAGGAAAGGATAGGGTATCATTATCGTAAGAGTACACCAGTAGAACAGGAGAATGACTGTGAACTAGATATTGAAGGATATCTTTGCTTTTTAATTTGTCAGTTTTTCGCTGCCCATAATGATAAATATTAATCGCCAAACAGATGGTAGACTCCCCTCTTATCAATACTTGTTCCATATCTACATCAGTTATGAGAGATTTTACACTGACTAGTAAAGAGCGATGCTGATGATGACAGTTTGAGATCATCATCAGATAAGAAGAGTTCCCAATGCAGTTGTCATGAATGCCAGTTTTTCTGGTAAATGAACAATAATGATGAGCTTTTTTAAACTTTATTCTTAAATGATAAGCAACAATACTTTCTGTCTTGCTATTGATGTCATCAAATACATAGTAAAACTTTGCAGAAGAGCTGCTACTCTCAATATCTCCTATCATTATTATGAAAAAAACACTACATTAAGCATAAGTATAACATACACAGTACCTTTTCCAGTGTAGCTATGTACAGTATTAGCACTCAATACTGATGAATGGTGAGTTCCACTATCAAGTACTTCTTTTGCTACTGGGACTGACTCTAACACATGATACAGTTCCATCATGTACTCCATTTCATCAGAGTTCCCATGCCTTCTTTTTCCTTGCACAGTTGTGCTTGATAAACAAAAATATAACAGAAACAGTAGAGCATTCATTTCAATTGAAATAGACTTCTACGCAAACTGAAGATAAATTTATTATGTCTACCCAGCATTAAACATCAGTTCACATGAGTTATTATAATTATTAAAATCATCGCCTTCTTTATGATTAACAGCAATATACTTAATAAATGCACTAAAAAAATCATTAAAAATCTAATTCAATCTGCTCGAACTTACTACATAACATGAGTACATGTATGCATATCAAAAAAATTATAAAAATGGAGAATTCTCTCCTAGTCATTTTTGGAGAAATTTGGCCAATGACCCAGTACTACAGTACAGGGACTTTGGCTTAATTTTTGAGCAAATTAAAAATTTTGTAAAAGATACAATTTTGATTGGATTCATCTTAAACTTTCTACACAACATAAATACATGTATAATATATCAAAAAAGAAGAATTCTTTCCTAATCATTTTGACAAAAATTTGGCCAATGACCCTGTACTATAGTACAGAGACTTTTTGCCGTGGGTAATATGCCAAAATGCTGTAGGAAATTCTGACTTGGTGTACATGTACATGTATTAATTCTCACACTTTAAAAGGATAATACCAAAGGTTCGGGTTCTTTTTCCAACCATATGATTGAAAGAATAGTGTACATGTATATGTACATGCATCAAAACTTATAAATAACACCTGAGGTAATACTCACTATACCATATCAGTATCTCCGATATTGTCATCAGGCTGCTGCTTGTCACAAAAGGATGTTTATTCTCATTGGTATACTCATGCTAGATGGGTCTGCTTGACTAGTTAGATACTACATTACTATTAACATTGTTTCTGATATTCATTGGGATTTTTGATACAGATTACTCCTGTCCTCCAATTTTTGATTGCAAGCTTGTTGCATGCATTTGTGATGACCCATTATGCTGTATCCCACTCTTTCCATGTGAATTGTTTTGGCAGATTCTGTATCACAGTTATGTTTCAAATAATTACATTAAATGAGGACAATTTTAGAAGTCAAATGTCAAAATAAATTAGCTAAATACATGTAGTTATGGCCAAGAAATTAGTTTAAGTAAGAGGTGAGAGATGTTATCAATGCTCATTTCAAAGATTTGTTTATTGAAACACAATACTATAATGGGGCATGTAATGTATGATGTCACTTGACATTAAAAGGATACAGTGCATGTATCTCTTACAATGTTAGCCAAAATAGATAATTATATAATGTAGTGTCAATATGAATTATACCAAAGACTATTTTAAATGCATCCCATGTAGTTTAAATTTATGACCAGCTTGCATGTGCTTCTATGCAATCAATTCAAGAATAGAAAAGAAATAGAAAAGAAATACATGTATTAGAGACAAGGTTGACTGACCAGCTTTAAAAGGATTGAGTTACTGTTTTTGTTCTTTGTTTAGCTTCAGGAAATAGGTACAATCAGCAATTTCTGTTTAATAAAGATAATTGTCATTCATAATTAGATTTAATAGATAAACTACATTGTTATGCTTCCAATTTTGGTAGCTTGTTTGTCATCAGTCACTTAGCACAGTCTGAAGCAAGGACACAATCTACAGTTAGTAGTTATGTCTAGATCTCTTCAATTTGCAGCTGTTTTCTTATTTTTCATTAGCTCCTGCAGTGTCTCTTCTCATCAGTATTATGTGTCTGATGACTGCAGTTCAGTTACTCAGTCACCTTGTAATCCTTTATCAGTATATGCTGGGGATATGTCTCAATACAGTAACAGCATCTTCTATTTCATTGGAACTAGTTACATTAACAACACTTTGACAATGACTTCTCTAGAGAATATAAGTCTACATGGACTGGACCCATCTTCTAGTATTAACTGCACTATGAAATATAGGGGATATGGTATCTTAACCATAAATTCCAGCAGTCACATCAACTTCAGTAACATATCATTCCAGCACTGCAACATAATTTTGAATCTTCAGGTAATTTACAATA